TGATAATACATTTTGGTTCCTACAACCCTAACAACACTGAATGTGGTACTGCTGGATTCTAAACATGCATCATAGTTCTGTCAGTCTCAATTTTACTTCCAGGGCTTCCTAGTGATACATTAGTTAAAACTACTGTTTGAGGTAGAATTTATGTGCTCATTCTGGACTTATGCTAGTTAATTTGACTTCCATATAGCAATACAAAAATGCTTACAATCAGCTTAAGAGACAAACTTGAGATTCCTCTGGAGAAAGGAAATCTTAAAGGTTTTAAAGCTGCTGGAGCTGGCCTTATCTTATCCTGTATCCCAGTAGTATTTTAGGGACAAAGGATTGTAGCCAATGCCTTGTGCTGTCAATTAGATTCAGTACAGTCAGTCTGCATCAGAAGAATCCTGAGGCTGAACAATACTTGAACAGACATAGGAATCAGGGGCTACATTGGTGGCTGGAAGCCAGCTGTGTCCCCTAGGTACTCTCTTGAACACAGATGGCCAGAACTGAGGACTGAGCTTCTGGGGTTTATTGTGAGTCTGCTCTGAAATTAAATTGCTTTAGTTTGCTAGCCACTGTCATGCCAATGGGCAGGTTACAGATTCTGTGTCCACTAACTCCTCACTACCTCATAACTGCAATTTAATTATTATGGAGTATTATACATAGCATCCAAAACTGCTGAAGAAAATAGGAAATTATTCTATGATTCTAAAATAGGGCAACCCCTACTGTTCTTTGTTTTAACAGTATTATTGCAGTTGCTTGAAACTTCTTAAAGTTCTTGATATAATTAGCGGTGTAAAGAGGTTTCCACAGTAGCCCTCTTCTGTACCATATTACTGTGTAACGCACATCTTAATAATACACTGAGTTATTTTTTTTCAAGCTCTAACAACTATAATTTAGTCTTTCAGTTCAAGGTTTTCATAGCAAGTTCCTGTTTGAGGGGAATTTTTTTTTTTCTGGAATATTTTAGGAAGAGCTCTTTGGCCATACTCTTTTTGAGTAAAAAAGTGAAGGAATGAGTATTTGTATTGGCAAGAAAAAGCAAAGAAATAGTCAACGTCTGAAATTCAACATGATCTGCCTTATGTCCCATAATGCAAACAACAGTTTGAACCCTCCACTTTCTGACTCTTAGTCTTACAGGCATAGGACAACTTGAATGCTGGCTGATCTCTGGTTTTCTGTGGCTCAAGGGCCTCTGCATGCCCCTGTCACTCCTTTGTAAACTGTGGAAAGTTAAAAGACCAGTTGATTTTTCACATACCTCAGCTGGCAAATCTCCATTTCCCAGCAGTAATCTCCTTTGAAAGCAGCTGCCATCCCAAATTTTTGGCTGCATAATCAAGTCTCACAAATCAGATTGCAGAAAGTCCCATTACCCTACTGTTCAACAGGGAGAAATTAAATCTGAAACATTATTGTGGAGCTTCACAAATGCTGAAAAAGAAGGATGTGTTTCTGAGAAAGTTATTTTTGCACCACCAGTCATTTTAATGATGCATAATCCTTTATGTTTTCTCAGGTGAAACTTCACAAAAGGTGTAGTAGAAGGCATGTGTAGATATAGGTGAGACTGAGCGTTAAGTGCATTTTTGGCCATTAACAATCCTGGGTCTCAAATATCTTTTGGGTCATCTCTTTTTCATACAAGCATGTAACTTAGAAAAGTAATGAAGAATGAGCACTATGAGGCACCAAGAGGAGATACGGTCCTTATACTAATGAAGTGTGCTTCAGCATTTTCCTTCTAGCATATGCTCTTACTCACAGGTGAATGGGTACTTGACCCCCTTAACATAAGGCTAGTACTCTCAAATTATATGTTTGCTAGGCTTCTTATGGTCTGAATTCTTAAGAGTCAAAAGGATAATCTGCATTCTATTTGTCTTTTTATGTGAGATATCGACTGCTTATTTGGTACCTTTTATCTCAGGACAACATGAACTGAGCTGGGGTCTGATATTTCTCATTTCAGTAGTCAGGAGCTCCTGACATTTCTATGCAGTTCGGAGACCCTTTGGGCGACCCAGGCTGATATCTAAACCAATCAAATATTTATTCCCTGCTTCCTCAGTTTCTCTGAGAAGTTTCACTCATGTCTTAATCAGAAAGCTACATGATTACTTATAATACAAGTGCTAGAGGTATATTTTGTCTGTCTTGCTCTAATTGCTCTGTAACTGAGACACTTTTGAACGAACTATGGATATACCCGGGGTTCCTAGCCCACTCTGCGCCTGTCCAGCTTGCACAATCCACAAAGTGATAAACTCTTGTTTAATGGTTACTCCACAAAAACGTACGTCTCTGAGCAGTGTCTGCCAACAGCCAGGCATTTGAGCAACATCCCCTTCACGGCTACAGGCACTGCATTCCTTGGAATCAAAAGCATCAGTAACTGCAAAGGGCAGTCCCAGGGCAGGTAGGTTGCTTGGTCAAAGGTAAGTTCATGAGCGCGGACAAAAGTTTTCACAGGTTGCATCCCAGGAGAGCATTCCAAAGGTCTTGTCTTTTCAAGCTCAGCCTATTTTCTCCTAGCTGCCTGCTTACCAAGGAAATATCCCTGCTTGCTACCTTTTATGGAGGCCTAGCCTGGCCTCTAGTGGTTGGGTCATTAAACATTATACGGGTGGAAGAGTACTTGACAGAGGTGACTTGAGCAAACACTAAACAGCTGCAGCACCGTGGTTTTGCTGACTGAGCTACGCTGTTGCTATGTACAAAACTGCTGGTACTGGTATGTGTAATGCTGTTCATGTCAGTGAAACAGCCCGTGAGAAAAAGATAAGGGCCTTCAGCTACAAGTAATTTCTGGGCTCCTCCTCAGGCCTGGTGCCGGTTAAGAGGAAAGAGCATCTACTGCAGCTTAAACTGGGTTGAGGGGAAAAAGGGCAGTGAGGGCTGCCTTGTGTGATTGCTCTGGAAGGAAAACTGTAATTACGTGGAATAACGTGATGAATGTTTTATAATGGAAGTACAAAATTAGTGAGCTTTATAGATTCATCTGTAACGTACGTACTATGTTATAAATAATTAATTTGAGAATTTAGTTTCTTACATTTGAAGCTCTTGTTGGTTCCCAGACACTCACATATTGAGGAATGAATAGCATTGATTTTCCTCAAGTAGATTGATTGCTTAGATGCAAGGATTTCTCATTTTTTTCCCCACGGACTATAGCAAAGGAAGAGCTGCAGCTTTGATCTGACTGACTGGCAGCCTCTTCTATTCCTGTGGCATGCACTTTAATTTTTTTAAGGCAAAAATGAAAGAATTGGCTTTTGTGGTGCTCTCCTCTGCTATGCCAATTTCTTAGCTGTATCCTTTTAGCAAAAGGGATTTTTAGATATATTTTCTTAGATTTTTCATCATACTGTTCAGTACCCTCATGTTAACATTTATTTCTGTTAAAGTGCTGAAGAAGCTGTGGCAGCAATGAGGCTGTTAAAAGGTAGATGTGAAATGTGAAGTAGCGCATGTACTTGGTACAGCGAAAGAGATTAGAACAAAGGGCAGAGAAGATAGCCCATGGAGAACTGTAAAAGGCACTGGCAAATTATCAGCATCTGAATTAATCATTTGTGTCCACACTGTAAAGCAGAGAGGAGTTATAAGCCCAAAGGAAGGCACAGTTTGACTTTTACTTTGCTATCATCTACATGTAACCCCAAACATCCTGCTGAGTTTTGCGTAGCTTCCTACCCTTCTCCCACGCTGTTCAAGGCAGGTTATGTTGACTGTGAGCTGAAGCTTATGGTTATACACAGATTAGCTGGGAAGATATGATCTAGATCCTGAAATATTTTGTAGAAAATATTTCACATAGAACTTTGTGAAACAGGGAGACCTGCTGCTCTGCATTCCTTCCTCTGCTCATCACGTTTTTAATCATGTATGCATTAGCATCCCTAAAAAACCTGCATCTTGCAGGCCACGCTATCACAACAGAAGAGTGGGGATAGTTTTCATTGTATACTGGACTCACCTGTCTGATGCTGTGTGTTGGGTCCCTTCCAACTGTTAAATCCTACTCACAGGTTGTACTGCCCAGCTCATTTTTCACCTACAATAAACCATAGCCTTTAGGACACAGTTTCATGGGCGATGACAGGATGGACAGCAGGTGGTAGGAAGGCTTGGGGTTGTTTAGTCTGGAGAAGAGGAGGCTGAGGGGAGACCTGATTGCCCTCTACAGCTACCTGAAAGGAGGCTGTAGTGAGGAGGGGGTCGGCCTCTTCTCCCTGGTAACAGATGATAGGACGAGGGGGAATGGTTTGAAGCTGCGCCAGAGCAGGTGTAGGTTAGATATTAGGAAAAACTTCTTCACTGAAAGGGTTGTCAGGCTCTGGAATGGGCTGCCCAGGGAGGTGGTAGAGTCCTCATCCTTGGAGGTATTTAAAAGAAGGATAAATGAGGTGCTTAGGGACATGGTTTAGTGGTGGGATGGCAGGGTTAGGTTAAAGGTTGGACTCGATGATCTTAAAGGTCTTTTCCAACCAAAGCGATTCTATGATTCTATTCTAAGGCTTCAGTAAAATTCCTGAAACACGGACTGCACCTTCCTCCCGCTCAGCTGCTGTGGGTTTACAACCGGGGGGGCAGACACACAGGGCTCTGGACAGCTGCTAAAACACTCCTGAGCTGCTTATTGTAATTAAAAACCTTCTATTTCCCCACCCCACCCCATACCGAGTAAAGGACGCCTCTGGCAAAGCAAGGGCAGGGACCAGTAAGCCGGGCTCAAGTCTGCGTACTGAGTTGCTCACGAAAGCCAGGGGAGGACCGCACCACCTTCCAGGAGCGAGCAGCTCCCTT